CGGGGTGATGCACTAACATGTTTTGAAGACAAACCAAGTCAGTTTGCAAGGCAGTGAGAGTACAGACAAGTAAGAATGGCAAGGCTGGATGGCATTTATTTTAATGCAAGGAGTTTTGTAAGGCAGGTGAGTTGAGAGCTGGTTATCCCACAGGGATGTGATATCATTGCTATCACAGAGACACTGTCGAGGGACAGACAGGACTGGCAATTCAATATTCCAGGGTCTAGAATCTTCAGACAATACAAGGAGGTGGTGCCGCAATATTGATCAATATGTCAACAAATGCATTAAGGAGGAAAGCTATTTTCAAAGGTTCCTCAATTGAGGATATATGGAAATGCACAAAAACAAAAACGGGCAATCACTTTGTGGGCTTCACCCTCATACAGTCAGGGAGCGATAGAAAGACAGATACACAGGCAAATCTCAGAGAAGTGTAACAATAATAGGGAATAATAGGAGGGGATTTTACCTTCCCCATTATTAACTGGGATAGACAACGTGTGAAAGACTTAGAAGGGACAGAATTCTTAAAATATGTACAGGAGAGCTTTTTATGCCAACACATAGAAAGTCCTACAAGGGGGTAGTGCCGGATCTAATTTTAAGGAACAAAGTTTGGAAAGGGATAGAAGTGTCAGTGGGGAACATTGTGGCGATAGCGATCATAATTAAGTAAGAAGGACTGGAAATAAAGTTTCTGCATTGGAAGAAGGTTGATTTTTCACAAGACAGGTTCTAGCCAGAGTAGAAAGAGTAATAGTGAGAGTGCAGTGCCAGCATGTTCCTGTAAAGGTGAAAGATGGGACCAACAAGTCCAGAGAACCCTGGGTGTTAAGTAAGTACACATTTGGAGAAGGGATAAAGAGGAAACTTACATGTAAATTGGTGCCCTGGAGGAGTATAAAGTGCAGGAGTTTGCTTAAAAAGGAAATTAGGAGAGCAAAGAGGAGACATGTTAAAACACTGACAGGTAACATTAAGGAAAAGCCAAAGGTGTTTTCTAAAGGTGTTTAGGGGCAAGAAAATATTCAGGGAAACAGTCAGCCCATTCGAGACAAATGTGGAGCTGAAAGACATAGGTGAGGTTATAAATGAACACTTTGCATCTGTATTCACTCTAGAGAAGGATGACATAGGTTGAGAAATCAGAGAAAGGGACTGTGAGATACTTGACCAAATTTACATCAAGAGGGAGGAGGCATTCACAGCTTTAGCAGCTTTAAAAAGGATAACTCCCCAAACCCAGATGAGATGTATCCCAAGTTGGTGTGAGAGGCAAGGGAGGAGATTGCAGGGGTTCTGACATTAATTTTCAAATCATCTCTGCCCAGAGAAGGAGTGCCAGAGGACTACAGGGGAGCTGATATGGTACCAATATTCAAGAAAGGAGTAAGGGAAAAACCGTTAAACTATAGGTCAGTGAATCTAACATCTGTGGTAGGGAAACTATTGGAAAAAAATCTGAGGGACAGAATTAATCTCCACTTGGAGAGAAAAGAACTAATCAATGATATTCAATGTGGCTTTGTAAAGGGGAGATCATGTCTAACAAATTTGACTGAATGTTTCAAGGAGGTGACTAGATGTGTGGATGAGGGTAGTACAGTGGATCTGGCCTATGGACTTCAGTCAGGCTTTTAACAAGGATCTGCAATAGCAAACTGGTCAAGAAGCTGAGAACCCATGGGATCCAGGACAATTTGACAAATTGGAACTGCCAAAATTGGCTCTGTGGCAGGAAGCAGAGGGTGATAATCGAAGGGTGTGTGTGTGTGTGGAAGCCTGTAACCAGTGGCATACTATACGGTTCAGTGCTGTGTCCCTCGCTGTTTATGGTGTACATTACTAATCCTGACAAGAATGTCAGAGATATGATCAGTAAGTTTGCAGATGGCACAAAAATGGGTGGTGTGCTAAATAGTGAGGAGGAAGCCTTATACGACAGGGCGATATAGATACAACCACAAGATATATTGATACAATCACAAGATATAGGAGCAGATTTAAGCTATTTGGCCCATTGAGTTTGCTCTGACAAAAATAATTCTACACTAATCCCAGGCAGTGCATTCCAGACCCCCACCATCCTCTGGGTGAAAAGGTTTTCCTCAAATCCCATCTAAACCTCCCGCCTTTCACTTTAAAATTATGTGCATTGTTATTGACCCTTCAATTAAGGGGAACAGCTGCTTTCCATTTATCTGTCCATGCCCCTCATAATCTTATACACCTCTATCAGGTCCCCCTCAGTCTTCCCTGTTCCAAAGAAACAACCCAAGTGTATCCAGCCTCTCTTCATAGTTAACCTGCTCCATCTCAGACAGCATCCTGGTGAATCTGCTCTGCACCCCCTCTAGTGTAATCACATCCTTCCTATAGTGCACTGACCAGAACGGCACACAGTGCTCCAGCTGTGGCCCTAACAGAGTCCTGTACAGCTCCAACATAATCTATGCAATGACAGATAAAGGTAAGTGTCCCATATTCCTTCTTAACTCCCCCATTACCCTGTCCTGACACCTTCAGGGATCTGTGGACAAGATCCCTCTGTTCCTCTGAGCTTCCTAGCGTCCTGCCATTCATTGAGTTCCTCCCTTGTCTTGTTCCTTTTTCCAAAGTGAATCACATTTATCAGGGTGAAATTCCATCTGCCACTGATCTGTTCATCTAACCAATCTGACCTAATAGCTTCCTCCTCACTGTTAACCACCCGGCCAGACTTTGCATCGTCCAAACTTACTTATCATCCCCCTCCGGTTCTCACCAATATCATTTACGAATATTACAAACAATGAGGGACCCAGCACTGATTCCTGTAGTACACCAGGCTCCAGTCACACACTGCATTCTCCCACCACCCTCTATCTCCTGCTACAAAATACAATTTTGGATCCACCATGTCATGTTACCCTGGATCCCATGTGCTTGTACCTTACAAACTGGCTTATTCATAGGAGACAGAGGGTAGCGGTGGAAGGATGCTTTTCAGAATGGAGGGTTGTGACTAGCGGTGTTCCACAGGGATTAGTGCTGGGACCTCTGCCGTTTGTAATCTACATAAATGATTTGGAGGAAAATGTGGCTTGTTTAATTTGTAAGTTTGCAGACGATACAAAGATTGGTGTTGTGGATAGCGAGGAGGATTGCCAGGGGATACAGCAGGATATAGATCAGTTGGAAGCATGGGCAGAAAAATGGCAGATAGAGTTTAATACAGATAAATGCGAGGTAATGTATTTTGCAAGGTCAAGTAAAGATGAAATTTATACAGTGAATGGCAGAACCCTTAGGAGTATTGATATGCAGAGGGATCTGGATGTGTAGGTCCACAGATCACTGAAGGTAGCAGTGCAGGTAGATAAGGTAGTAAAAAAGGCTTATGGCATGTTTGCCTTCATTGGAAGGGGGATTGAGTATAAGCATAGATAAGTTATGCTGCAGTTTTATGCAACTTTAGTTAGGCCAAACTTGGAGTATTGTGTACAGTTCTGGTCACCACACTACCAGAAGGATGTGGATGCTTTGGAGAGGGTACAGAAAAGGTTTACCAGAATGTTGCCTGGAATGGGAGATTTTAGGTATGAAGAAAGTTTGGATAGACTGGGTTTGTTTTCACTGGAACATAGGAGGTAGAGGGGCGACCTGATAGAAATTTATAAGATTGTGAACGACATGGACAGAGTGGAAAGTTTGAGGCGTTTTTCCAGGATGGAAGGGTCAATTACTAGGGAACACAGGTTTAAGGTATGAGGGGAGGAAGTTTAAAAGAGATGTGTGAAGCAGGTTTTTCACACAAAGGGCGGTGAGTGCCTGGATTGCGCTGCCAGAGAAGGTGGTGGAAGCAAACACAATAACAGTATTCAAGAAGCACCTGGACGAATACATGAATAGGAAGGGAAAAGGGGGATACGGATCCTGTAAGTGAAGACAGTTTTTGTATGAAAGGCAAAACGTGTTGGTGCAGGCTTGTAGGGCCGAACAGCCTGTTCCTGTGCTCTTTGTATCTTCTTTATCAGTTTCCCACGTGGGGCCTTGTCAAAGGCTTTGCTGAAATCCAGATAAACTATATCAACTGCCCTGAATTCATCAATACACCTGCCACCTCCTCAAAATATTCAATCAAAATCATTAGGCCTGACCTTCCTCTGACAAAGCCTCATTATCCTCAACAGCTGAACAGATAGGCCAGCAATGTCATCATAACGTCACCACCTTCCAATTGGCTGGTTATGGTATGTTAAATAGTAAAACGATTTGACAGGATAGATGCAGACAAACTGTTTCTTCAGCGTGGGGTGGGGGGTAATTCTGAACCAAGAGCAGAATGTTACAGTTTGAACCAGGCAGGAAGCATTTCTACACAATAGGTGGTAATTTCTGTAACTGTGTGAGATGCCAAAAACTGTAGAGAGAAATGGAAAATACGTCAGTGCAGCAATAGTGGGTGCTCCAGCAAGGCTGACTTGGAGGCACTTTTTTTTTGTTCGTTCACAGGATGAGAGCATTGCTGACCAGGCAACATTTATTGCCCATCCCTAATTGCCCAGAGGGCACTTATGAATCAACCACATGTAGGCCAGACCAGGTAAGGATGGCAGTTTCCTTCCCTAAAGGACATTAGTGAACCAGATGGGTTTTTCCAACAATCGGCAATGGATTCGTGGTCATCATTAGATTCTTAATTCAGATATTTATTGAACTCAAATACCACCATTTGCCGTGGCAGGATTTGAATCCAGAACATTACCTGGGTCTCTGGATTAACAGTCTAGCGATAATACCACTAGGCCACTGCCTCCCCTTTTCACACTATAATCTAATGCTGTGCTGCCTCCATCCTGAGAATGTTGATGGGGACAGTGTCAGGGGAGCTTTACTCTGTATCTAATCCCGTGCTGTCCCTGTCCCGGGAATGCTTAATGGGACAGTGCTGAGGGAGCTTTACTGTGTGTCTAGAAGGGGAATTGTGAAGGTGAATAGAAATTGACTCTCACCTGGGTTAGCAGGTCAAAGGTGTAACTGTAAGTAGGCCGTGAGTACACAAACACAGGTAGTGAGAAGTTGACACTGTGCAGCTCAGACACTCGCAGAGCCTCCTTGATCCTCGAGCGCACAAACCTGGTGGCACTGCTGCTGGAGCGTAGCATCAAGTCCAGATAGATGGAGGGGAAGATTGCCGTACTGTTAGTCCACAGCCAGCTCAGCAGCTCATTTCGGGATATCTCCACGTCTGGGCAGCGGCCTGTATAATTGGCCATGTTATTCTTATAGTCGTGATTGTAGCAGTCGGGGAAAAGGTAGAAACCCCACAAACTGTGTGGCCGGAAGTTTCTTGCCTTCCGCAGAGTCTCAACCATGAACCTCTGCGCTGACTGTTCAAACTCAAATTGGGCCTCTCTGTTGATTTGAGTCTCGGCCCAATCTGGGTGTTTCTCAGACACCAGGCGCCGGGAATTATTACGGTATATCTCCTTGTCCTTCCAATTCCGAATCCAGAGAGGCCTCCACTCCTCCCAGTCGATCACTGCCAGACCCTTGGTGGTCTGGGATCTCATATAACGCTCAACGTCTCGCTCCATCGCAGTCAGATGTTCCAGGAGGCTACTGTTCTGTGGGACACCACCATTCACTGCTTGCTGACCCTGGTAGTAAGGGTATTTACCCAGCCTTTCCTTATAGAAGATGGTTAGATTCTGGTTATAAAAGCCTTCATTTGGAGATGAAATAATATCGAACATTCTGAGGTCCAGATTGACTGAGTGACGGATACAATCCTGCGTTGGTGCATTCCACACAGTCACAAAGGGTTTACTTCCAAATCGGGAGCTTTGTTTCAGCTGAGCTCTGCCCTTTGACACCAGGAGGGTCACCACACATGCCAGAGCCTTCGCAACAGAGGCAGCTCTTTGGGCCATGACTCCTTGGCCTTTCAGTCACTCACCCTCCTGCTTCTGCAGAAGCTCTGCTTCCAGTTTATCCTCGACTCCAGACCCTAGAACAGAGAATACCATTAAGAGCACAGACACATCACATCCACAGGACATCCTACTGCCATTTACCTTCCACTTTCCAGCCCTTATCCATTGCCCCATACCCGACTTCAACCTCCTTTGCATATCTTCCCTTTACCTACAGTTCGCCCACACACACACTGACCCTCACTGGAGTACGGGGTCTCACACACACACTGACTCTCACTGGGGTACGGGGTCC